TTGTTAGTATTATTATTTGAAGTTAAGTAGTATGCTGTCTCGATCTTTGTTCTTTTTGCGCATGATTGCCTTGGCTTTTTTTGTTTGTTTGTTTCATATGTATTTTGGAATTTTTATTTCTGCAAAAAGTTATAATGGAAATTTGGTGAAGATTACATTAAGTCGTCCTTTTCCTTTATGTAGTATGGATGTTTCAACAATATTCTCTCAATCCATGAGTGTGGAAATCTTTTCATTTATTTTATTTCTTACTCAGTTTATTTCAACTTTTTATGTTTTTCAATGTACTGGTGATTCATTTGCTTGGCTATATGCATTACTAAGTATTTTGTTTTGGATGAAAAATAAATACATTTATTTATAAAAAATAAATTAATTTAGATGAGACATCTCTTGATTTCTTTTCAGATGTTTCATTATTAATGCAATTTATGGAATTTCTCTGGTAGCAAAAACTAATTCCATGCTGAATAGAAGTGGTGACAGTGAGCATTCTTGTCTTGTTCCAGATTCCAGAAGAAAGGCATTCAGTTTTCTCTGCTGAATATTGTATGTTATTTGCTTCTGTATGTCTTTTATTGTGCTGGGGCATATTCTTCCTATGCTTATTTTATTGAGAATTTTCTTTTATCATGAAAGACTGTAAAACTTTTTTACATACTTTCCTCTAACAAGATGAGAAAAAAGTCCTTTATCATATAAACGTGATGTCACATATTTATCCACTGCTCATTTTGAAATAGCAGCATTTCCAATGATAATATAACAAAATCATGGTGGCTACCTTTTCAATGTCTTGTTTAATTCAATTTGCTACTGCTTTGTTGAGGATTTGTGCATCATATGTTCATCAAGCATATTGACACGTAACATGTGTCCTGTAGTTTCCTTGTCTAACTCTAGACTCAGTGTAATGATTGTCTTTTAACATGAGTTTCAAAGACTTTTTCCCTCCTTGATTTCTGACAATTACTTGGCAATGACTGATATTTTTTAAAGAAGGTTTGTTGAATTTAGCAGTAAAGCCATCACATTTTAGACTTTTCTTTGACTCATTACATTTCCAGTTTCCTCCTGACTAATCATCTTCATGATGCAATTTTGGTAGGTCATTTATATCTAAGAACTAATAATTTATTCTAGGTTATAGTTTCTCAGAGTATGATTGGTCATAGCCTTCCTTTATACTTCTATGATACCAGTTGGAATACATCCTTTTTTTCTAATTTT